GTACTACCATACTCAGATCTAGAAATTACTTTTACTGACCAAGAATTAAAATTTAAAAACTGGTTTATAGGAGGAAATTAAATTGAAAAGGGAAGAATGTCCCTATATTCCTATTTCTGCCCAGGTAGTGCCAATCAATGAGAGACCACAGCAATACCCCTTTGAAAAGAGCAGAGAGTATCTCTTTGATACTATCCCTTATGGGGCTAGGGTGTCAGGCTGCCACAGTCCGGAGGCGGGGATCGTGGGTGTGGACTATGGAGATGAGCTTATTGCACAGAGCTCTACTTGTTACAGATCTTGTCCAGATGGGCCAACTGCACAAATCTCCCCTGTTGGAAGTCTCAAGAACAATGCCCTGGAAACAGCTACAGTACTGAGCAATAAAGGCTGTCCAACTGGGACTCAGATCAGGGAGGGCATCAGCTGGTGCTGGGTGCCAAAGAAGCCAAAGTACCAATCAACATAATAGACCAAAGGAATTCACAAAGCCACTCAGAGCTAGTGCCAGGTGGAAAGTACTATCCTTCTCACTGGAGCCCTTAAGCAAAGGAAGTATTTGCATAATGCCAACATCAGATCCAGAACAAACGGCTTTCATTTTCTACATTCTTCCCACATATGTAGAAATGCTAGGTCTCACTGAGGTGGTTTGACATTTAGCAATCTGTTCAATCACAAAATTGTTCAACTTGCGTGTTTCTTACCAATGAATTGAGAAAAGGTGACTTAAGTGTCTCATTTAGAAGTCATGTCCACTTATCAGGTAATGCTTACCTTCCAGAGAACATACTGTTTTCTGCCTGAATCAGTCTGATGTGATTCTGAGATTTAAACAGCATTTTAAGGCAGGATCCTGTGAAGATAGTGTTTCAGGTATTTTTATTAATTTTTGTTAATACTTATATTAGATAAATATTTCATAAATATATTTTTCAAGAGGAAAATCTTTATTTACTCAGTTGTTAAGGCTATTGGTGCCTCCATCTTCCTTACAGCTTTCTCTGCCTTGTGCAATGCCCGTGGTTTAGCCTCCTCATTCCCTTTAATCTACAAGTCATTTTGTACACTCCAAATTCACAGACCAAGCAAAAACAGCTTTCTAAGTGGAAGAAGTGTGCTGAATAAAATATATTCCTTTGTCTTTCCATAAGCATTTTCCCACCTATTGTAAAAGAACAGGCACTCTTCTGTTTATAGTGTTAGACTGATTTAAAGTTACTTTCTCTTTTTGTTGATCCATATAAATGCCTCAACTGTATCCAGAATATATTATTTCTTCTGGATTTCTTACATGTATGCCCAACACTCTTGATTGTCTTTATCAACATTAGCATTATTAGTCTTATCTTATTATTTCTGGTTACTAAAATATCAAAAATTATACTTCACTAAGCTGGGATTGATCTTGTTAGGCTGCACTGTTGAGGAACACTAACCAATCTAGTGCAGGAACCACCCAGGGATCAGCAAGCAAGGTTCCACTTACTGGTTCAATGGAAGAAATAAGTAAAACAAGTTTTTTATAGAATAAGTTTTTTTTGAAGGCAAGAGATGCATTTTATACAACTTGTTAGCTTGCACAGCTCCTGGTACCTAATAATACACAATATGTGTAATTAGAATAAAAGCCTATCTTCCCACTTGCTATATCATATGTGTTTATTTATTCCCTTTCCATTAATTTATTGAACACAGAAAAGGAGATCTGGAAGAAACCTTACAATGTCAGAGCTTATACAGATATATACATACACTCTTCAGGTATAACAGAAAAAAAATTAAGAAGGCACTAAAAGGTTGTAGGTTGCATCCCTAAAAAAAGTAATATTTTAATTAAACATTAATAATACACCATATATTAAGGCTAGGATCAAATATATCTGGACACAGGGGTCTTTTATGAGACTGTTTCTCCAACCAAGGACCATTGTTTGGATATAACCTAGAACCCCTGCTAGGATGTAGCCCATGGCAGGTCAGTATCTAAGTGGCTTCCCTAGTAAGGGGAACAGGGACTATTTCTGACATGAACTTAGTGGCTGGCTCTCTGACCTTACCCCGCCCCCACCCCACCCCCCACCCCCCGCCGGGGAAGAGCAGTCTTGCTAGACCACAGAGGAGGACATTACAGCCAGTCCTGAAGATACCTGGTAAGCTAGCTAGGATCAGATGGAAGGGGAGGAAGACGTCCCCTATCAGTGGACTTGGAAAGGGGCAGGGAGGAGATGAGGGAAGGAGGGTGGGATTGGGAGGAAAAGAGGGAGGGGGGCTATGGCTGGGATACAAAGTAAATAACCTGTGATTAATATAAAAAAATAAAAATTATTTAAAAAAAGACTAGGATCAAGCTACAATTAAAATACCAACCACTAGATAAACAACATCAATGACAAGTGAGTACAGTAGTGAGAATTTAGGCAGCACAACTCTCTGCTTCCCCCTGTTCTTCATGTTGTTTCTGTTGAGGAGAGAGTCATCTCTAAAAGGAAAGCAATTAATATGTTTTTCCCTGCCTCACACTCTGCTCTATGACAGTCTCTAGCTAGAATAATGTTTGCAGTCTACAAATATGGGCTGATGGTTTATTGGTCAGAACAGCTTGTTAGCAGATCTTGAGCCAGGGGCAAGAATGTTCTCTGAGCCAATTCACCCTCATAAAGAATTTTCCCCATGGAAAGATAAAGAAAGTCTGCTAACATGAAACCACCTGAAGAAGTCACATGAGAACTCAACTATCATCACTGAGTAGTTTTTTGTTTGTTTGTTTGTTTTTACATCCACTGCTTTCACTTCTAATTCCCTGTATTGTTAGACTGTGTGGTTGCTACTTATAAGCAAATCTCACTATTAATTTCCTGGAATAAGGGAAAATTCCTGCATCACCTAAATCCAGGGGCCATTTTGTCTTATAAAATAGATCTGGAACAATATAAGCATATTCTGTATTTTACTAGTTTTCATTCATGACAGCTTGGTGTTGACATTGTGATGCTTTAGTATCAGTCAGAACCTAGGTTCAAATGACAATTCCCTCGGCTTCAGTTTCTTCCTCCTCAAGTCCACTAGAAGGCTTTGAGAAATTCAGAACACAGTAACTACATGACCTTGACCACATTATTGAACCATTCTGTATTTCAGTTCTCACACCTGTTAATTGAAGATAATAGCAACTACCTCATCCTGTTGTCGTGGGAATTCTACAATGCATGTATTTTACTCAGAATTTGGCATACAGTAAATTGCTCAATAAAAATTAGCTATTGCCTAATAGTCTCTCTTCTACATCTGTCAAATTTCTAACAGTTGGACCTGTTTAGGACTCCAAATTTCTAAAATAAGTATGGGCTTCTCTCTGAGCCCACACCAACAAAAATGGCCAGGCTAAAATCACTTATCTTTTATATTTTCAGTCTTTTCAAAGTACTAGATGCCTATTCACATATAGTACACTTTAAAAACTATGGAACCATGGGGAATTGCTGAATCCCTCTGAGCCTTAGTCAACATTCCTAGAACTGAAGAAGTCACATTCTTCCAGTGTTGCTATATCTTGTTGTGTAATCCTCCCAATCCTGACAAGGGGGACTTCTACCTACTCAGTCACCTATGCCAGACATCTTGGAGTCAAAGATCTTTAACAACTCCTTTTACAGACTTCAAATAAGTTAATTAATCACCAAATCCTATTGAATATTCTACTTTTCAAATAGTCCCCCTTTTCCCTATCATCTCTGACTTTATCTTCTCCAACCATTGGGTCCAAGGGTTTCCAACCCTCCACACTATTGTCAGTTTCACCATAAACAGTCTCACACATCTGCATTTTCATCAACAGCTTCTCCACAACCCAGGAAAAACCCTATGTTCTTTAAATGACCTATACTGGATTTTCCACCTTGTCCCCACCAGTGGCAAAATGCGTTCTCCATTCAATAATGGTACTCTATCTACAGCATCTCGAATCCAGCCACAGATCCTGTCTCACAATTCATGCTTTTGTACTTACTGTTCCCTAGCATTCAAATACTTCCCTTGACTTTTGCCACCCCAAGGATTTTTCTCTATCTGTCAAGACTCAGCCAGAAATCATGTTTTCTATGAAGCATTCTCAAGCCCAATATTCAGGTAATTTTAAACTCACCAGCAATGCTCTGGACATAGCCCTATATAGCAGTTGTGAAGTTATACATGCTCTTTCACCTGTGTCCCTCACACAGAAATTTGAGTTTGAAGCTCAGGAATCAGAATGTTTTCATCATTGTATAACCCATACTAAATCCATACATGAAATTAATTAGTGTTTCCTAGATATTTTTTAAAGTAATAGACAACGTAGTTGCTTGATTTTTTTTCAACCATTCAATTCTTACCAACTATAGTTTCTTTGAAAAGGGTCACATTATTCAAGTGCCACACATTCTTGCATGTTTTGTTTTGTTCTGTTTGTTTTTGGAGGCTTTGCCAACATTTCAGTACCATTTCATTCTCAAAGCAAAAATTTGAGCTAAGATAACATTGTATCCAGGCTAGAAAAGATGAAACGCTCAAAAACTTTAAGTAACTTACTCTAGTGTCAAAAAAGAAGCTAAAATCAAGTTTACTATTTCACAGCATTGTCTTATCAACTGGGCAAGAGATTTTCAAATCATCTTTGTTAGGTCCCAAGGTCTTGTGGAAAGAAAAAGCAGGTGCCCACCCATATCTTCCCATACACATGCATATTCAGAGTATGCATACACATACATATTCAGAGTAACTCTATGTTTAGCCTATACAACAGCATATTGTTTGGGAGAAGTAAGGAGACAGTTTACTGTTTTTACTATTGCTTTAAATTTGTGAAAATCAAAACTGTATTGTCTGCGATGTTCAGATATAAACCATTCAATGTCAAGGGGTGCTCCAACTATATTATCTCGCTGATATACAAAAGCCTTGTTTGGGGATATGTGAATTAGGTTTTTAATACCACGACCAAAATATCTGACATAAACAACTTAAAAGAGAAAAGATTTATTTTGGCTCATAATTTCAGTGTGTTCAGTCCATGTCCCAAGTGCGCTTAGGGAAAATATCATAAGGGTAACAGTGAGAGCACTTCACATCATGGCTGATTGCAATGGGAGCTATTCACTTGATGGTCCACAGGAAGAAGAGAGGGGTCTGTTGATGCTTTGCTGCTTTCCTTCTCCTTCTCCTTTCATTCAGTCTGAGACCCTGACCCGTGGGTTGATGCCACCCACATTAAGAGTAGATTGTCCTTGTAGTTAATCTGCCCTGGAAATGCCTTCACAGAAGCACATCCAGATGAGACCTCAGTAATTTCTTAGGTGATCCTAAATCCAATCAAAGTGACAACGAAGATTAATCATCACTGGAAGAAATAGACTAAACTAAAACATAGCTGTGACAAATCTAATAATTAGGTGTCTTTTTTCTACTTAGTTTTTCAACTGATCAACCTATAGAATTCCAAAGTATGTGTTAACATATTTCCCTTTACACTTATTAACAATGTCCACTGGCTAATCTCTCTCATATCTGTCCTCAGTTTCTCAATATTCTTGAACCACTCCAGATACAAGAATCACTGCTAGATACACAGCTCAGACAATTAAGAAGATCAAGAAAGGTTGGAACCTTGGTCACAGTAATACATCTGTTATCTTGACTGCATTTGACACTCATCTTATTTTCACACAGAGTAACAAATATTTGACTTTCTTAGAAAACTAGTATCTTATAAGCTTTCCCATAAGGTACCCCACCCAACACATCACAATGTCTTATAATGCTAGCACCTGACACAACATAAGGATCTTCTCTAATCATTTAATCTTGTTTCTTTATCAAACATAGGTTATCATGGGCTTCACTAAAAGCTAAGGCCCTCATTTGAACTTTCCTTTGTTCTCCAACAAAGTGTCATTTATTAGCTACACAAATTCACTTTGAGACTGCTCTGGCTTAGCCTGGAACAGATTCATGCTAAAGGTAATTTTAGAGATGGATTGTGATTATTTAGTCCACTACATCTGCCTTTCTCATCTTTTGCCTGATACCTGTATACAGAAAAAGAGGAAAACCCAAATTTTGGTATGATGTAGGACAATAGTAAAGGTATTATGCTGAGCTCTATTTCTGGTAACTCAAGAGTTTTTTTCAGCAGAGCTTCTTCATGAAATTTGGGGATCCATTAGATTTATACTTCTTATAGCTTCCTCCCGGTGGGATCCTCATCTGTTATTATCAGTTGATGGGCCTAAGATTCAGGATGGTCCTTTAAGGGAGGAGACACTGTAGTTTCTTAATATATCATCAGCCTCTTAGGAAATATACATTTTTGACAGCCTGTCTTATCTCACTAGTATTTCAAATTTCAATTTAATGAGCATTTTTGACCCAAAAGGGACCTAATAAAAAAGAGCAATTAATCACAGACTAAATATCTTTTGCTTCTATCTGTTACAAAGATAAACTTTCTTCAAAATACCCTGTTGGTGGAGTCATGTTCAGGGAAAAGGAGCCAAGTAAGAGAAAAGTGGTCAAAACTAATGAATATGTCTTCAAAATGTCACTGACACCATGTCTGTTATTCTTCAACCAAGTCATAACCAGTTAGGAGTTTAGCTACAATACTGATTTTTCTCTTTATTCATCTTTGAGGTGAGGGATATATTGTGAAAGGTGATAGGTAAGTATTGACCCCTTGACATCCTCATTTGCTAGCCTTCTAGCCAGCTAAGACTGGAATAAAAGATGAAAATAGTCTAATTAATCCCCTGTAAGGATGTCTGATTGTCCTTAGAAGCTACAATAAAGCTATACTACTGCCTTAGACCCACTCAGAGTACAAGAGAGATCTTTTAGTCTATTGTTAAACCTAAGCTTGATTTAAGAGATGAAACTTGTTGGACCATTTGCCTTAGTAAGACTACTCTGAGAAGGATAAGGAATCACTACTGGTTGAATGCCTTTCTCGACATTCTCTACTATGCCATTTTGGATCTACAGGGAAAGGAGAAAGTTTGTTGCAAACCGGCATAGGTATCATTTCTCTGAGTCCCCAGTTACACAGAATGTCTACCTATGAAACTGAATTTCTTTGCAGGTGCTAATATTATAAAGTCTCCCGCACTGATCCCAGGTAAGGCAAATCCCTTCACCAAAAAATTAAAGCTACCGCTGAGTGACCATTGTGAGGTATTCATGCAATTAGAATCTTCATTAAGATAGACAGGTCTTCTTCTGCAGACATCCGTACCATTCTTGGTACAATGAAGGTAGGCAATAAATAGCAGCTGAATGAGCAAGTGTACCTATAGCAACATAAGCATTTTGCCATACTGCTAAATCTCTCTAGTTAGGAGGACTAATAGGTAAATCTTATATTTGTGGAAGTGAGGGTCATGGGCATAACAGGGAGAGGTAGAGAATATGAAACCACAAGACAATGTGAGGCAAGAATCTGCAATAGCTTGTTTGGAGGTTCTAGCAGGGGAGCGCAGCACCCTTGACCTAAGACTGGTCCTCCTCTCTTCGGGGAAGGTTGTCCTCTTTGACCTAGCGCAGCTTCAGGAGGGACGCATATGGAGCAGTGAGGGAGGAAGGGGACAGCCAGCCAGATCAGCAGAATCAACCCTGGTGATCAATGGGGTGACAGATGTAGCAGCCAGATCAGTGGACTTGGAAAGGGGTAGGGAGAAGATGAGGGAGGGAGGGTGGGAATGGGAGGGAATGAGTGAGTGGGATACAGCTGGGATACAAAGTTAATAAACTGTAACTAATATTAAAAAATAAAAATAAAGAATCTGGAGTAGGCCGAGGTTTGCATTGATGTTACCTTTTTATTCAATGGTCCTTCAGGGTCTAGAAACGCAGCCTACTGCCTGCCTAACATATATATATATATGAATTCCATATCTAGTATTAAAACAAAAAGGCGATTTTAAAATAATTTTCTCCTCTTACAGTTGAAAACTTCAAAAGATTTCTCTTCATGCATCAGAACACAATCAACCTTCAGACTGGCTTTCACCTACCAACATTGTATCATCTTTGGATTCATTCACAAATGGTCATGAAGTGCTTTCCATTACATGCTAAGTATTAAAATACTAAGTACATAGACTACACAGTAAAGGGGCAAAAACACCTCCTGTCCTCAGAGGTCCAATAGTATGGCAAGAGAGATAAAATCTGACTAAGATATCAGTAAGTAGAAAAATGGAGAAAATATGCAGATATCTGTGGTGGAAGTTAGGAAAGCAGATGTCCTAGAAGTCTTTCTTGGGACAGAGAATTGTGACCTGAATGAAGAGGTATGAAAGAAACATCCAAGGAAACAAACATATTAGGTGAATGATTGGTTTTGTTTGTAGACAGGGTCTCACTATGCAGCCCTGGCTGGAATGCACTCTGTGGAGCAGGCTGCTCTCAAATTCACAGAGATCTACTTGCCTCTATCTCTCCAGCCGAGCAGGAGTAGGACAGTTTTAAAACTGAGAGAACAGATATTTGAATTTTTCAAAAAGAAGGAAGAAGAGGAAGAAAAACAATCAAACAAATAATGTAGAGAACAAATGTAGAGGAACAAGTTTAGTTCATCAAGTGAAAATGGTGGTATCTTGGAAAGGAAAAAGCAGTGGGTGCTATAGGATCATAAAGCAAGAGACTTAACTTAATCTTGGAGATAAGGTAGGACCACTGTGGAAAAGTGACACTTAAAGGGAGACTTGAATACCTGATTACCCATGATGAGGAGTAAAATAATATGAGAAATGAAGAGAGTCTGTAGCACACTAACCTACTGCTTCAGCCAAAGCAGGACTCAATGCTACCAATAATTTTGCCTACCTGCTATTCCAGATGCCTTTTCTTCATAGCCAAGTCATGTCTAACCTACTACATTTTTCCTAAGTCCCACCTTCTGTGATCATAGGCAGATATGTTGCTTCGATACTTCTATTCCAAATTTGTCACTTAGTATTTTAGAAGGTATGTTATTTGATGAGCATAGTGTTACATGCCTGTAATCCTAGCACTGTGGAGGCAAGAGGGTCAAGAATTCAAGGCCATCTTTAGCTACATAGCAAGTTCAAAGTTAACCTGGGCTACAAGAGACCCTGTCTCAAAAACAAACAAAGAAACAAACAAGCAAACAAAATGTTTATTTGGTATTGCTAAGACTCAACTTCACATATATCCCCTAAACTCCTTATAAGACCCTTCAGTATGTGAGCTCTCTTCTATTACTTAAGCATCACCCAGAATACCTAGCATGGCAATGAGCACATTATGTTTGTAAATGAAGGGATGGATGATACACCGGTATCTCTGAAACCTCCTTCGTAATTTACAGTTACCCAGGATATTTACAAAAGGAGAGGGGTCTGCTTTCTCTAAAATAATTCTACCACACTCATAGAAAGACCTAAGATCTGAAGTGAACAACTGCCTCCCAATGGTCTCTGCTCCTCACCCCCTTGCAATTGTGCCCCTTCCCCCAATCTACCTTTTATTGTTTCTTCTGTCTCCTGGTTGTCAGCCAGGATGAGAAAATGGTCTAGATGTCCTCAGAGACTTACACCAGCCTGGACTGCTCTGCAGTGCCATGAAGGGCCAGGACTTTTGTTTACAGCTGGGAGCCTGGTGAGGCAGTGAGCACAGCTGACAGCCCCGCTCTGAAGCAAACATCAATTTTCCTCTGTCCTCTTAGCCAAGTTTCACAGACAAGCTCTATTGAAAGCTGCTTTACCCTCCTGGTTCCCACTGACATCCCACCCACAACTCTGTACTGGGAGAAGCTGGGTGTATCTCAGCTTTGTACCTTTTAGGAACTGCTCTTACTCTCTTCTCTGTCCTCAGTTACTAATCATTTTATCTCAACTTCAGGGCCTTTAAGGAATATGTCCTCTGAGGTCCCCATACCCTAAGCTCTATCTGCTCTCTCACATGTAAAAACAGTGTCATTCACTCATCCATATGGTAAAACACAGCTGCAAGTAGATCAAAACCACTGTTTCAATGTATAGTTTGATTATGATTTGAAGCTCTGCCTTTTTCCAGAGTGGTAAGATACCTTGTCATTAAATGCTTGTACTTTTACACACATGTGCACACACATAGTCTTTGCTTTCAAATGGTTTTCCTACTCTTAAAAACTGTAAACAAGGTAGGAAAAACATCTTCTAAAAATAGATAAGATGCACTGTCACATAATCTGGCCTCCTGCTTCCTTAGCAGCTTTGACTTCTGTGGCACTCAAGGAGTGTAATCAAAAAGCTCTAATACACTCTCAGCTCCCTCTTGAACCTATTCCACTTGCTTGTATTTTATGCCTTCTGACTAGCACCTTCAACAATCAGCTGAAGCTTTTTTATGTGGTTTTTCAACCTCTCTATGGTCCTAATTTCCTGATGATTGTGAGATGCTATATACAATAACTCGTTACAACAAGGCTTCTTATGGCATCTGGTGGATGGAAAGAGGTAGGAAGAGACTGTCAATTTCTAGTAAACATTTTTGCTTTTTTTGAATTTGACTCGCTCCCTAAATTTGACATGGTCATCGCTACTAAATAATGTACATTTCACTCAATGTCTTGGTTAATAAATACTGTTCTAAAGAGAAACCTATGTTTGTACTTGAACCCATAACCGATGAAGCACTTTCTTTTAAATGATGCACTGTACTTTACTTAAAATTGCACAAGTACAAAAAGTAACTATAGCAGTGAGGCATCTTCACTGTTGATGAGATTTGCCAGTTTTTAATTTAAATTTGTATTTTATAATTTATTCTCACTTTTTAAATTTAATTTTTTTTCACAATTTATAGCCCCCTCCTCAATTCCCCTAGTCACTCCCTCTTTCCCTCTTCCCCCCACCCCCTTCCCCTAGTCTACTGAAAGGGGGAGTTCTCCTCCTCTGCCATCTACACATAGCTTGCTAAGTCTCATCGGGACTTCCTGGATCCTCTTCCTCCGTAGCCTGGCAAGGCTGCATCACCAGGGGTGAGTGATCAGAGTGCAGTCAACAGAGTTCATGATAGAGGCAGCCCCTGATCCCCTCACTCAGAGATTTACATAGAAACTGAGCAGCCAATTGGCTACATCTGAGCAGAGGGTCTAGGTCCTCTCCATGCATGGTCCTCTGTTGGTGCATCAGTCTCTGCAGATCTGGGCTCAGATCTTTTAGTTTTGTTGATCTCCCTGTGGGGCTTCTGCCCCCCCATGTCTGTTTATTCTTACCCCTCTCTTCTTTCATAAGATTCTCTGTGCTCTGTCCATAGTCTCAGCATTTGTTTTGATCCCCTATTGGATGAATCCTTTTAGAGGACCCTCTATAGTAGACTGCCATCCTGTTTCCTCTCTTCCACTGTTTCTGGTGTCTATCCTGTTTGACATTCTGAATGAGATTTAAGCTTCCTCCCTTGGGTTGTCCTTAGTGTTTAGCTTCTTTAGGTCTGTAGATGGCTGTGGTATATCAGCTATCAAAAACAAGAAAATCATGAAATTTGTAGGCAAATGGGTAGAACTAGAAAAGTTCATCCTGAGTGAGGTAACCCAGAAACAGAAAGACAAGCATGGTATAAACTCACATATAAGTGGATATTAGCCATATAATAATGTTTTGTTCTTAAAGAATTATTTTATTAAGGGAACATTCAGAGCAATACAAAAGACGGAAATAGTACAAACAACCCTATGTCTACCGTTAAACAATTTAGATATATACTTTCAAGTACTACTAGCTTGTCCTTTTAAACATGGCAGTTAACAGTTTGAAAAGCCATAACATTTATCACTTCTGTGAAAATGTAGACTATAGCTGGAAATTTCAAACATGAGGAACTTAGCTGGGGAAAATGATTCAAAGCAACCACTCGAGGCAAAGTTCCAATTACTGGCTTCAACAATCCCTGGCGTAAATAGTCTTTATCTTTCTGAGTTAATGTATACGATGAGTGGCTTTACATGATCCCTCCAAGTAAAGTGTTGCTGACAAAACCATGAATTTTGGCATGTTTCAAGCTAAACTATTATCTCAGGAGGAGAAAAACAAGGGATCATGTACAACTATGGCATCTATAGATCATCTAAGGTTATCGCTGACTAGGTTCAGTTCTCAATGGTTTGGTCATTTGTAATAGCCAGAAGCTGGAAACAGCCCAGATGCCCCTCAACTGAAGAATGGATGCAGAAACTGTGGTACATCTATACAGTGGAGTATTACTCAGCAATGAAAAATAAGTAAATCATGAAATTTGCAGGTAAATGGTGGGACCTGGAAAGGATCATCCTGAGTGAGTTGTCCCAGAAGCAAAAAGACACACACGGTATATACTCACTCATATAGACATACAACATAGGATAAACCCGCTAAAATCTGTACATCTAAACAAACTAAGCAAAAGAGAGGACCCTAACTAAAATGTTCAATCCCCATCCTGAAAGGCAAAGAGGATGGACATCAGAAGAAAAAGAAAATAGGAAACAACCTCGGAACCTGCTACAGAGGGACTCTGAAAGCCAGAAGAAAACAGGAAACAACCTTGAAACCTGCCACAGAGGGCCTCTGAAAGCCTCTGCAGTATAGACTGTCAAAGCAGATGCTGAGCCTGATGGCCAACTGATGGGCAGAGTGAATGGAATTTTATGTAAGAAGTGGGAAATAGTAAGAGCTGGAGGGGACAGGAACTCCACAAGCAGAGCAACAGAACAAGATAATTTGAACACAGGGAACTTCCCAGAGACTCATACTCCAACCAAGGACTATTCGTGGAGATAACCTAGAACTCTTGCACAGATGTAGCCCATGGCAGTTCAGTGTCCAAGTGGGTTACACAGTAATGGGAAGAGAGACTGCCTGTGACATAATCTGATTGGCCTGCTCTTTGATCACCTCCCCCTGAGGGGGGAGCAGCCTTACCAGGCCACGGTAGAGGACAATGCAGCCAATTTTGATGAGAACTGATAGACTAAGATCAGAAAGGAGAGGAGAACCTCCCCTATCAGTGGACTTGGGGAGTGGCATGCATGCAGAAAGGGGAGGGAGGGTGGGATCGGGAAGGGAGGAGGGAGGGGCTTATGGGGGGATACAAAATGAATAAAGTGTAATTAATAAAAAATTTAAAAAAAAGAAATATCCTTTCAACCTCAGATGGAGTCATAAGGTGGTAATTAAGTTACAGAAGAGAAAATGTGTATCATTAAAAGTACAAAACCCCCCTTGATTTTTTTGCCCATGGCAAAACCAAAATACAGATCCAGAGAAATTTATGAGACTAGCTTTATGAAATTCCTATTGAATAAGGAAATATAAACAGATGAAAGAAAGACATCCTTATTATAGGAATGGCATTTTGCTTGGCCTTAAAATATTAGGATTAGTTTTTAACTTGAATATTAAATAATCACTATTTTAAAAATACTAAATAAGATGATTAGAACAATTTCTTAAACCTTTTTTAGATTTAAATTTATTTATTTATTTGTATGAGCATGAGTGTTTTGCCTGCATATATGTATGTATATCACTGTGTGCCTGTTACCCACAGGGGTCACAAAAACATATCAAGTCCCTGGAACTGGAGTTACAGATGGTTGTGAGCCACCACACAGGTGTTAGGAACTGAACCCTCGTCTTCTACAAGAGCAAAAAGTGTTCTTACCTGCTGATCCATCTGTCCAGCTTCTACTTGATATTTTTAAAGTTTGATTATGATTTGAAGCTGGAGCACACACATATTGACTCATAACTGTAGGTACTACCAGTTCCAGTAAATCCAATGCCCTCTTCTGGCTTCAGTGGTCACCAGGCACATACAGAATGCACAGACATACATGTAGATGAAGCACCTATACAAGTAAAATAAATAAAATTTAAAATAAAATTATATACACACACACATATATGATATGTTAACAACTAAACCTTAGGCTAGAGAAGTTTTGCTTACTACCCATAAGACATAGGAGGACACTGGGGATAAACAACAGAATATTATCTGACCAATACTGACCACTACCTTTCAGACCAAGGAAGGTTTTGTTATTCAAAAGGTAATACTAGTAAGGACCATATATACTGGCAGGTAGGTTACATGCTACACAATAGTAGTCAACTAAGAGAACAAAATTCCTGGCTGAAATGTCTTTTTCAACTAACTGCCTTGGTGATGTTGTCAGCAGAGTCAAGTAAAGGGGCATTTCTTTTCTCACTGTTCCACTGGAGTGTACATATTTCTGCAATTTGTCTGCCCTTAGGTGGCCTATAATTCTGATTACCACAAAGTATGAGCTAATGGTAGCCTTGCAAATTAATAGAGAGCTCATGGATCCCCTGAATGTCCTGTGAAGGCTGAGACAATAAATACTTTCTGTCTGGCCTCGTGCCTCAGCTTAAAAAATTAAGCTATGTTTCTCTTCCAGTAGAATGTATGTGAAGACAACAGTGTAGCCGTAAATTCTAAAAAAGAACATTTTTCATTTTCTGAGAACTGACTATAAGTCAGGAATCTATGAGAGGCTTTATTCCACTAATAAGTTAAGGTTGTGGGGACTATTTACATTGATGGGGTACACAACATAACAGGAAAAAGCCTGGGCTTTAAAGTCAGGAACAAGTCTAGCCTTGCTCTGCAATTTACTGGTTGAGCAACTTTAGGTGACTGTTTAACTTCTCTGGGCTTCCGTGAGTATTTGCTAAGATAACAGATGAAAAGAGCTGAGTCCTGTGTTGCCTTGAATACAGCAAACATTGTTTCTAGGCCACTTCTTGTTACCTCTCTGATTCTAAAACTAATTCCCATTATTCATGCTCTTGCTCTTGAAAGCACAGGATAAACCTATTAGAATACTGCTGCAGCAGTCAGAAATATAGATTCTTAATGTATATTGGGTAACACATTTCCCTCTCCTGAACCCATCAATCTAATGGAGCACCCCAGCACTGATGTTGAGAAGAGCAGAGAAAAAACATCACCTTTTGGGAACATCTGTCAAGAGTCACGCACCATGCTAGGCCCATTTACAGACTTTCTATTTTCTAAATCAGCACTGTCCAGCAGAATATTGTGTGATGGTGGAAATGATCTATATCTAAATTTAAACAACATCCAGGAACAATATTCAGCTACCTTTGAAATACAGCCAGAACAAAGAACTGAACCTATATTTTTTTTCATTCTAATGAATTGTGACTTAAATAGCCACATGTACTAGTTGGAAACTGTATTATACAGAGTGGTCGCAAGATCATGAACTGTTTTTTTCTTTTCCCATCTAATAGGTGTTGATACTACAGTTTAGAAGTTTTAAGAGAACTTGTTTTAAAAAATAATTTAAATTTGAATAGCTTTGAAATCTGAAATGCTTCTGGTTTCAAACACATCTTTAATCTACAAATCACCACAATGTGGTATGTCATAGGACTTGGTCAGCCTCAATTCAATTCCTTGAATTGGTTCTAATAGTGTTTGAATGAGCCAAAATCCTGCCATTGGAGTGGCTGATAGGAGGGGTCCTGGAGAGTGCTTAGCTGGTGTCACATAAAAACTGGCCAAAATACACATTTTCTCGTGAGTCAGAAAGTATCAGTATCTCACAAAAAAAAAAAGACAAGAAAAGAAAACAACAACAACAACAAAAAAAATCACTTAAATAGAAACTAAACCAAAGAACTAGAAATCTTAATACTAGAAATCTAAATGCCAGGAATTGTTCAAATTTTATCACTTATAAATTATACGATTAACAAAAATAACTGAATATCAGAACTCATTGAGAACCAATGTGTATAGAGCAATAGAGTGAGTGACCCATATGGGTTTTCAAAGCTGTTTTACTCACCACCCTTAGGGCTTTATCATACATAAAAGATTACGATACATGCTAAAAAGGATAACTACAGAATAGACAGAGCCCTGAGAAATAGGAAACAACAAAGAGACCATTCCTGAGCCTTTGCATTATACCCTGTAGAAGGAAAAAAAGGAAAGGTATAAAAATTATCAACCTATTTCCACATACTTGGTTTGCTTTTCTACCACCTTAATGGTTCGGGGAACATCAGTCAAAGCAAGGAACAATCTATAATGTAGTTGGTTTCAGACTCTGAAAGATGAAAACGGAGGATGATAGTTCTACACATTTCTTAATCTGCAAAATGAGGCTGATACTATGCAGGGTGTTTCAGAACACATACATCCTTCGTATTTTGATTTATATTCTATGGCACCCTCTAGTGGTAAACAAAAACAAGGGTTATGTTTTTGCTCTCCAAAGCAGTGGCTCTTAAATTTTAGGGCACACTGGATTCACTAGAACAGTTTGTAGTGGCATGGATTGCCAAACTCCATGTAGAGAACCTTTGATTTATGAGATTTGAGATAGGACCTAAGAATCTAATTGTTTGATAACTTACCAGGTTGTACTGATATTTCTGGTTTGCCTGGAGAACTGCTCTAAAATAACCTTTCACCGTTGTGGCTGGAGAGATGGTTCAACAATTAAGACCACTTGCTGGTCTACCCGAGGAACCAAGTTAGGTTCCCAGAATTCATGTAGGTGTCTCAGAACAGTCTGTAATTCAATCTCCAAGGGATCCAATGGCTCTAATCTCTGTACTCATGTCACATACCCACATGCTGATCTACACCTACACATAATTAAAAACAGTAAGATTTAATTCTTAAAACTTCACCCACATATGTCAATACATATCATTGATAAGTGAAATGTATTTTTTGGTTGATTATGGTATAGTACAATTTTGTTAAGAATCAAGTATCTATGGGAAGGATTTAATATAACAACTGAAATATAGAAAACATTTAAAACTTGAGGGTCTGACTGGGGATATGTCTCAGAGGGTAGAGTATCTGTGGTTCAAGCATGAGGACCTAAGTCCAGTTCCCCAGCACCTCTATAAAAGCTGAACAAGGGGCCCTTATCTGTAACTTCAGTATTTTAAAAGGACTGTTGGGGAGATGGGCAGATCCTGGGAGCTCCATGACAAGACTGTTTTAGCCCCTAGAGCAAACTTCAAGTTCATTAAGAGACCCTACCTCAAAAAATAAAAGTGGACAGCAATGGAGGAAGAGACCTGACTGAAACTGACCTTTAGCCTGGACATGTTCAGGCAAGCACTTCTGCTACACATGTGCATTTTCAGAGAAAAAAAAAACCCTCAGGGCTACATTATCATTATTTTCTCTGAAACAGTGTGAGTTATGTTTCACTATTTATTATCTGACTCTAAAGACACAACCAAGTTATGTAGAATGTGATGAACGTGGTTTAAAAAAAAAGGCCTTTTGTCCTATAAAAACAGCTTAGTCAGGAACTCCACTCCACCGTAGGCTGCACCTGATAACCATCCCCCAGTGACATCACTCCCTCAAGATAACCAGACACAGGACTAGAATGTCATGATGATGACGCCCACTGGACAGTATATAAGCAGAGACCAGAGCAGTGTTCTTTCTCTTGCACACCTGGAGGGAAGGACACCTGGATGTGCCTTGAGGCTGCAGTCCTCCCACAGAATCCTGATCTTCAGCTACGGTAAGTCACACAGGTGAGCAGCCTTGGGGAGACAGATTGAAGACCATAGTTAGGAATGTAGAGTGGTAACTTTGATGACCAAAAGTTATAATAAAATATAACTTTTGTTATACTAAGTATGGACTTTTGTTGTTGTTATTGTTGTTTGAGACAGGGTTTGTCTGTGTGGCCATGGCTGTCTTGGACAGGCTGTGCAGACCAGGCTGGCCTCGAATTCACAGTGAACCCCGTCTCTACTTCCCCAAGTGTTGGGATTACAGGCCTGTGTAACCACACCCAGCTAGTACCTACATTCTTGCTCGCCACAAAAAAACCATTACATAAAATTATGGTGCATACACACATATTGGATAAAAATTTCAAGAGGACAGGAAGTTGATAATTTCCAATGTTGAGGTCTAAATTTACCTTTGAGTTACCTTTATAGACTGACTAGAGTCATCTGCAATTGCCACGTGGAGAAACTGAAGTACTGAAAAATAGTGGGTAAAAAAAGCAAAAAAAAAAAAAAAAAAGAATATTCTTTCATTCGTTTATTTATGTAGAGACAGGGTCTCAACATAAAAATCTAAGCTGCCCTTCAATTTGGGGTCCTTCCACCTTCTGATTGCTGGTATTGCAGATGCACCACTCCATCTCACAAAGGACTTTAGCATCAGCATTTAAGCTTGTTTATCAATTCTGAGTAAAAAAAAAAAAAAAAAATTCCAAGGGAGAAAGAAAAGCTAGAACAGGTGACTTTTCTTTTCAAGGAAAGAAATTAACAAAGAATATTTGTATATATAATTCCGTGCCTAGTATTGTGACTTCACAGAACTTGATTTTATTGTGGAGAGGGGAATGGGAGGAGATGAGAGAGGAAGGGTGGAATTGGGAGGGAATGAGGGAGGGGGCTACAGCTAGGACACAAAACGAATAAAATATAATTAAAATAAAAATGAAAAAAAGAATTTAAGATATATATGAGACAGCCAGAGATAATTAACTCCATAAAATAAGAAGTAGAGCAAAATAAATAAATAAATAAATAAATCTCACAAGCCCTGGTAGTCCAACAGCAAATCCTTTGCTGGGATTTGATGACATCTAGTGGCTGATTCAAGAAGTACAATCCTCACCCAGTGAACTTTCTGGAAATTTGAGGAATGCGTATTTGCCTGATGATCACTATGCTTGGAGACTAGGAACAAAAGTAGGTGAGGCTTAGCATCCACAGGAATTTGAAGGAGTTTCTATCATCGGGGAATTTAATTGCGTGTGTTCTCATTAGAATATTTTTTTCTGCCAGTAAAATTGGTGAGAAGCAAAGTTTGCAATAAACTTGGTGGAAGGCAAAGGGGAGAGGTGTAGGTGATGGGGAGGGGTATATACTGGAAGCCTGAGAGAAAATGTCCTTTTAAGTTACTAATATAGTTTTGAATATTAACCATGGAAAGAGTTTACTTTGGTGGACTAAAATGTAGGAATAACGAGCATCTTTAAGGTCTAAAATTAAACAAGACTGGGTAGAGTGGCGCATGCTTTAATCCCAGCCCTTGGGAGGACAAGAAGGGACAGGTGGTGGATCTCTATGAGTTCCAGGCCAGCTAAATCAGGTCGAAAAAAAAAAAAAAAAGAAAAGAAAGGGAAAAAAATAAAGGAAGAAAAAGAGGTAACAGAGCAAATAAATTAAATCAGCAGGCCTTTTCTAACAAAGCCCTGTTACTGGCACGTTGTTTTAATTATTTTCTTTTTCATTAAAGCATTTTGGGCCCCTCCGCCTCTCTCTCTCCCTCTTTTCTCTTCTCTTCTCTCTTCCTCTCTTCTCTCTCTCCCTCTCTCTCTCTCCCCCTCTCTCTCCGCTCCCCCTCCCTCTCCGCTCTCCCTCCCTCCCTCTCCCAACCTCTGTCTTCCCGGTTCCGAGTAGCGCTACAGGCCTGAGGGCGTGGCCCTAAGTTTGACCTCGCTCTCTTCCCACTCGCGGGAACCTTAGCTCATTTCCGCCTGTCCTATTTCCGCAAGCCACGTAGACACTTCCTTTCCCAGTAGTGCGAGGGCGGGGCAGGGGAACGGACCCACAAACCCCTGCAGGAGAAAAAGAGGGAGCGAGGGAAAGGTGGGGGTAAAAAAAAACCCACGGTCAGGGGAACTCTGGGTCGTGAAAATAGGCCACGTGAACACGCTGCCCTATAGACTTATGACCCAAAGGCTGTAGCGCTTTTGGAGGGCGGGCTAAGAACCTAAAAGAGCGATTGTCATTGGCGGGGGAGCACACTGAAGAAGGACGGTAATTGGTTTGATTTCAGCCCTAACCATGAAAAAGCAGGTTGCTAGCGCCCGCCTTTACTGCGGCGTAGTGTCATTGTGACGTAGGAGCGGTGGTCCAATCATTTGGTTATGGAACATTCTAAAACTTAGAAAAGACGACTGTGATTGGCTGAAAGGCTAAGCCCTCCTCCAGGGTGACGTGTCTGCCTATGGATATCAGTTGCCAGAGAAACCTGGCTTTACTATGGCGGTTGGAGGAGCAGCAGTGATCACACGTCGGCTGCTGGAAAGAACTGGATTCTCCTTTCAGGTTTCGGGGTGGGGGTGGGGAGGAAGGGTCGATGATTTCCTCTTTTCTTCGTGTCTAGAGACAGGATTAGCTAGTGGCTTCCATTTCAGGCAAAGCTGGATTCATATTCTTGCTCGCCAACGCCCAACTCGGGCAAGGCTCCTTTCTGTGTCTCGGTTTCCATGTTTGTAAAATGGTGATTATAGTATCCATCTCAGAGTCGTGGTCTCAGATGTGCGTGAAAGGCTTTCAATGTGAAGCCTGTCCCCGAAAGATATTAGCAATTGTTATTAAAGATATTTGTCTAGCACAAGGAAATTTTAAATTACGCAAATTCGCTCGATATATTTTTTTGGAAAACCATCCTTTTTCTTAGAAATTGTGCTAATACGCATTTATTAAGCCTTAGTGATAAAATAATTTGCTAGCCGAGAACTGCTTCAGAATGGCTAGGGATTGGAATTTTTTCCACATTAAAGTTAAAAAAAAAAAAAAAGGAGGTAGGGGAACGAAAATGAGAACATGCGATGAGTAGGCCTTCTTTGAATCCTGATTTGAGCACACCGATTGTAAAATATTCTTTAAAACGCACTGGGAATTTTTAAATACGGGATTAATATTCTTCAATAAAATTGGTGTCAGATTTTTTTTTAGACGCTAATGGTGGCGATGTGGTTATGTTTTCAGGTTGCTTTATTTTGTGGACATATATATAAATGCTTAGGGATTAAATAATGTCTGAAAATGGCTTCAAAATACATGGATGACTAGGATTTGCTTCAGAATATTTGCAGCGGTACAGAGAGGTGGGAGGGGTATGATTGGGACCCTAGATTAATAATCATTTAAGCTTAGGGCCAGGCAGATGGGGTATCATATATTCCTCTTTTTCCTATTGTGTATATTTGAAATTTTCCATAATCCTGAAGTCATTTTTCGGTAGCTTAAAAAAAAAGGTGTGGGGGGGAGCAGTGGGTGGGGTTACAGATGAAACAAGATGGCTTTCAGTTGGTAATTGTTGGAGCTGGATGATGGATTCCCATCGGTTTGTAATGCTGTTCTTTCACAATTTCATATTTCGAATTATCCATAATACAAATTAATTATTTTTTTTCAGAAATTGATTAATATACAATGAAGTACATTTGAAAATATAACTACAAAAAATAAAATTTGTACATTATCAGCTTGGATGTCCTTTGTGTAAGATAAAATTGTATTGACTGATGGAAAAGAATTACCATCTCATTTTTTTATGTCGTTTTCCATCTCTTTGTTTGACCTTCTAGGTCATCATCAGAAAAGCTAACTTTGCTATACAGTAAGGATCAGGAGATCTGACCCTGGTTGCAGAACCATTCCTGTTTGCAGAATACAGGGTAAGTGCCTTTTTTCTGGCCTCAGTTCACAGACAAGATATATCATCACATAACCTTCCAAAAAATGTCTAGGAATATTTTAAAGATTAAAAGCATCCATCTGGGAAAGTACTCTAAATTCTGAAAAGGAAAGGCTTTTATCTAATGCACATTAAATAAACAATATAGCCATGTGCAATCTTATTCTCTTAATTAAAAAATAATAAAAATTGGTGCTCTGTAATAGTTTCACAAATTCAAATATTGCACTATTTTTCTCGAGAGCAAGTAAACTTGATGGATGTGATTGCTGGCGCTGCCACTTTTCCTTGTAACCCTGACCAAAAAACTTCCTTTGTTCCAGAATGTCCTCATAAAAGTATTTTCTATAATAATACCTGTGGCTTTAATAGTCATGAAACATTTTATAGACATACACATAAGCACAGTTTCATATATTAATGGATATAATTTTCTTGGATTTTTTTTAAAATTAATATTGTTGGTTTTTCTCATTTTCCAGAACCAGCAATTAACTACTAGAACTGAATTCTAGAATTAAAGACTTCTGGTTTATCCAATCGATCTAAAAGTTTTAAGGATGTTTACTTATGAGGGTATTTCTAAGAACTATCATTTTAGCTACCATAACTAGCATGCTAAGCATTTTTAAGTAATTTTTCTCTTTTGTTCAGACTGAAACTGATCTGTTGAGCTGGGAATTAGCTCAGTTGGTAGAGTGCTTTCGTAACATAAATGAAGTGCCAGGTTTGATCCCATAGCACTATGAAACCAGGTGTGGTGCCACGTGCCTATACTCTTCAGCATATAGGGGATGGATGCAGGGGATTCAGAAACTCATCTATATAGTAGGTTTGAGACTAGCCTGGGTTACATGAGGTTTTTTAGACATGTTCTAAGATCCAAATGAGAAAGTTGATGTCTGCTTGATTTTAGCCACAGACTAAGAAATGGAAAGAAATTATGTCATTGATTGGGTTATTATATTTAACTATGTGTACAGTTAACTAAAGGTTTATACCAACAAATTGTTGGTGTTATAAATATATGTGTTTGTAACACATACATACAAAATTGTATTTGGAGTCTGATTTCATGAAGCAATGCAAGGGAGGGGTGTGTCTCAGTGTCCTCACAGCTCCCTTTTTAAAGGAGTTCTACAATTTCCCTAATATTTCTCCTTTGTGAAAGCTATGTTTCAGCAGAGGGCACTTCCCTGATAGAAGAGAGGCAGTTTAGAAAATGAGTGAGGGCGGAAAGTGGCTTAATGGGAACTGACAAAGCAAGGGCCAGAGAGAGCTGAAGTGGGGGAAAGCCTCAAAGAGGAAAAGGACCTTCTCTTGGGCCTCTGGGGCTAGGTAGTATGCCTGTAAAGCATACAGTGGTATAGTGGTAATGAAGTAAAAAAAAAAAATGCAAGTATATGTAAGCCCCATGTGTGACCACATCACAGTCATGAATAATGTGTATGGCTGGGGTTTTTTCTTGTTCCCCTGTTCTCTCTATAGTCACCAGTTTTCCTCATTTCCTTCTAGATGACCTAATTAAAAACTTGTGTAAAATGTATACAGATATGCATAAGAGTGTTATGATTTTTCTTTGTACAAATTATGGTGTCAATATAGTTTTACAACTAGCTATGTTTATTTCACATGTGTTTGAATGTCTTTGCCCACTCTGATCTCTGTCTAACTTCTTTTGTGGTATTTCTTTTACAGTGACATTCCTTTAGCTGAGATAATTATGAATATATCACATTTCATCAAAACACTATAAGGTTACCCCAGTATTTTGCTGCAAATAGCACACCAGCCACCTTTTATATATATCCATTGACAAGTATCATTCTAGAGCAACATTTATGTCTTTAAACCATAATAATAGAACCATTATGATAACGTTACATGAACAACCAGAATTATTACTGATAGGGCCCAAAAATGGGTGTGCTATCTCATGTCTGTAGTCCCAGTGGTTAGAAAGCAAAAGTAGAAGGATTGCTACAAAGACCAGACCAGCCTGGGCTTGGGAAGACAGCCCCTTAAAAGTCAGATAAACCCACTCTATTTATAAAAAAGCATTTCACATTGAGAAAAGGATGGACTCATCAGTAAGAAACATTGAAAAAAGAGTGCTACAAATTTGGGGGAGACTCAATTCTGTAACTTTTGTTTGGTATCCAAACCAAAACCAAAGATAGAAAGAAAAATTGGGCCAAGTTTGTAATACTGAGATACATAAGTGCACACAGTCCATAAGGCCCTACTAAGCACACTTAAAATCTTTTTTTTTCTGTTTTGTTTTTTGTGACAGGGTTTCTCTGTGTAGCCTTGGCTATCCTGGACTCACATTGTAGACCAGGCCGGCCTTGAACTCAGAGATCCTTCTGGTGCTTAAAACCTGTAAACCACGGTGTTTTTTTATGAATTGATGTGAAACAAGAAGTACCCTAATAGAAAAGGAAATAAAAATAGCCATGTAAGAAAAAGATGAAGATGGTTAGAGATAATACATATTCAAATGAACATACCCCACTACAAGTTAGATTGGCAAAAAGAGATGTTTGAGATGATTGAGGTACAGTTAGTTGAATTAGTAGAATGCTTGCCTTGTGTAGGAGGCCTTGAGTTAAGTTCCTCATACCAAATATTATCTATCTTTGTCTAGTGTGGTTGAAGATGGAAGGATGAATTTGAAGTGTTTTGGCTAGGAATACAAATTAAAACATTCTGACGTGAATCAGGCTATATCACCAAAACTCTAATTAGGCAAATACCTTGACTAATTCCTCTTGGAATATATCCTTTAGCGATAACTGCCTGGTGCCCCTAATATTTCAATTCTGTAATAATGAAATATTTAGAACAATGTCCACAACTGTGGAGCCAAGAACTTTAAAAACCTGAACATCTGACACTGTAAGAGCCCTTTAAGGGAAAGTATTTGTCAACAATAATTTGAAGAGATTCTATAAAATGATAAAATCACCAAGAACCAACTCAAAAAGACAAACATTTTTGAATGG